CCATGAAAGGGACACCGACCCATTTCAAGGGACAAACTATGCAGGTTTAATAGCTTTTGAAATTATTAGTGTACGAAGCAAGGAATGGGATGTACCAAAATGAGGAATGTATATTTGTATTTTGGCTATTCAATACTTGTATGGATAAAAGGGCTCTGTACTTGGAAGGTGCGGTGTGTATTTGGGAATGGGATGTACTAAAATTATGAATATGTATTTGTATTTTGGGTATTCAATACTTGGATGGATAAAAGGACTCTGTAATCACTTGGAAGGCGCGGTGTGTATTTGGGAGTGATCCCACACACAACACACACTTTCTAACTTTAAACTGTTAGAGAGATTTTGTCTGTCACAGTTGGATATCGATACTAAATCAATATCCATATTTTTTTAATAAATCGCAACAACTCAGCCACCTGAGCAGTGCTGCCAAGCTGTGCCTTTATCGCCTTTTTCTGCCATTCCTGACGCAAGGAAATAACTTGGACAAAGGGGAAAAGCGAGACGGAACCGAGCGCCCTCGGAGCCCCTCACGGAGCCCCTCACGGAGCCCCTCACGGAGCCCCTCACGGAGCCCCTCACGGAGCCCGCCCTCCGAGCCCCTCACGGAGCCCGCCCTCCGCCCCGCCGCGCTCTCGCGAGATCTCGGCCGCCCTGCGCGCCGGCGCGGCCGCGGCCCGACGGGATCTTTCGAGAATTGCCGGTACCGCGCTCCCCCCTCAGCGCCGCCGCCATGTCCGTGGTGGGCATCGACCTGGGCTTCCAGAGCTGCTACGTGGCTGTGGCCCGCGCCGGCGGCATCGAGACTGTCGCCAACGAGTACAGCGACCGCTGCACGCCGTGAGTCAGCCCGGCAAGCCGCGCTGAGGCGGCGGCAAGGCGCCCGCGGGGCCCGGCGTGGCGGGGCCGGGGAGGGAGGGAAGCGGTGGGGCCGGGAGGAGTGGAGGTATAAAGTGCGTACAGAGATGTGGGAAAACGCGGCGGACACGGAGGGGGCTTCGGGAGACCCTCTCAGCTGCCTTCCATAGAATCACAGAATCATAGGATGCTAAGGGGGTGGAAGGGATTTTGAAGCTGATACAGTTCTACTCCTGCCATGGGCAGGGGCACCTTCCACCACCCCACGGTACTCCAAACCCCGTCCAGCCTGGCCTCGAACACTTCCAGGGATGGGGCAGCCACAGTTTCTGTGGGCACTCTGTCTCCTCACCCTCACGGGGAAGACTTTGTACCCTACATCTAACTTAAATTTCCATTCTTTCAGTCTGAAGCCTTGTTCTTTCAGCACCCCCTTGTGCTGTCAGTCCAGTTCCTGATGCAGAAACTCCGGCTTCCTTGTAGCCCCTTGAGCTGCAGGACGCTCCAGGTGTCCGCACAGCCTCCTCATTTCCCGGCTGAGCAGCCCCAGCTCTCCAGCCTTGCCGTGCAGTACGGCCGGTTTGTCCCCCCCGAGGCGGGCTCTGCCCTTGGGGTTAGAAGGACGGGGGCTGTGAGCGTAGAGAAAAGCATCCCTGGCTGCTGCAAGTGCCAGACTTAATTCCCTGTGTGTTCATGCTCCGTGTTCTGGAATCACGGCTGTCATTCCCCTGCGATCCCAGCGCAGCAGGTCCCAGGAAGGAAGGGCTGAGCTGGGCTAATGTGGGGCTTGGTGTGAGCCCCATGCTTGTCCTGGGATCAGAGTTTGAAAAGCTGCTCAGCACCCTGCAGTGCCAGGGGAATGGCTTCAAAAGTGACAGAGAGGAGCTTTGGACTGGATATTGGGAAGAAATCCTTCCCTGTGAGGGTGGGCAGACCCTGGCACAGGGTGCCCAGAGAAGCTGCCCCTGGGTCTCTGGGAGTGTCCAAGGCCAGGCTGTATGAGGCTTGGTGCCACCTGGCATAGTGGAAAGGGTCCCTGCCCATTGCAGGGGACTGGATGAGCTTTAAGGTCCCTCCCAACCCACATCATTCCATGATTCTGTGGTACAGTGTGGTCAGTATATTCTAGCCCTGCTTGTGTAATGATCCCTCCTAACACATTCTCAACAGGACCGTTCATTGTCTCAGTTCATTAAGGAACTCCTAAGAAGGAAAGAGAGAACTGCTGTAAAACTCTTATGAATGAGTTGCAAAATAAAAGTGGGAAAAGAATTTGCATCAAGAATTGGGCATCAGACCTGGAGAGGAACTGTGGGGAAGGCTGTCCTAGAAGTGTTTCTGGAGGTTCCCCTCTGTTGCACTTTGGCTTTATTTAGGCAGATCCTGAAGTGGCTATCTTGGTGAGACAGTTGCGTCATCTTCAGTGTTTGGGGTTTTTTAGATCCCTCGCATCACTCCAGAAAGCCCAAAGTGACCTTGCTTCTCATTAGACAATACATCACTGTTTGCTTCCTCCTGTCTCTAAGCAGTGAATAAATGGAGAAGGAAATTTTGAATTCAGCATGTGTGCCCGAGTATCTGGAGATTTCTTAAGTGTTCTCAATAATGTGGAAGTTTAAAGGTTAGATGTACTGAGAAAATATTGAATGTAGAGAGTATCAGAGCTGGGTTCTAATAGCTGTAGGTATTTGGCTCTCAGAGAGTTGAAGTTCTGCTGATAAATACATCTATATATTTGAGATGTGATCACAAATGTCCCTTGTTGAAGGAGATGAGCTAAATAAAATATCTGACACGGTGCATCTCTTGGGAAATAATTCAGTTATGGGAGCCTGAAGCGAAATGGAAAAAATGAGCATAATGCAAATGAGAGGGTTTTAGCAGGGCTTAATCTCCAGGTTCTGACGGAATGCAGAAAATCATTCTGCAAGCAGACCCTTCTATTAAAAGAACTTCTGCATGGTTTTTAAGTGACTTGGAATCAGACGCCTGGTTCAAAAAGTCAGCGCTGAGCAGTTGTTACAGTGGGGAAGTCATGCAAGGTGTAGTGACAGGTTTCCTCAGGCACTGGCTCATGGTCAGGGTTAAACACTGTGTTTTGTATGTGTTATTGTAATAATTTGTATTATTAAAATAAACCCCCCTGAGTGCATTGCTCTGAGTTCAGTGGCACAGATGACACTCCCACAGAATCTGCCTTCAGCTCTGGTACTTAGATTCTTCTGGAGTGCTGTAAAATTTAAACTTGTACATCCCAAAGCTGTGCAAACTGTGTTTGTCTTTGGATATGGAAAAGTGGTGGAGAGAAAGGTAGTGGAAACTGAGAGGAAAAAATAAGAGTTTAATTATTTCTGTAGGCATGAAGGGCCTTGAGTTAAATGAAGTCATTGTGATTGACCTTCTGGAGCTGGTGCTGATGGTCAGTGCAGAGGACCTCTGATGACCTTCACTGTGAATGTTTCTGCTTAAAATGCACTGGTTAGTTTTTCTGCTCCCAGAAATCCTGTCATAGTGTAATTTGTATTTCATGAGTTCACTGGTTCTTGTGAACTGATCAGGGAAATGGGACCGGTTGAAAATTCTTCCTTTTCTTCTCGTTCCTGGTTTCACTCGCCGCTGTGAATGAAACTCACTACCAGGGCTTTCATCTAAATTAGTGCATTTGTGTTGGTGAGGGGATCTTGGTTTGTGAATTCAGCAGTGGAGTAGTGGATATTTTTTTTTTGTCCAAGAGAAGGGCAACAATTCATGTCTTAATTCCTTTCAGGAGACCAGAGTAAATTAATAACCAGCTCCTTGCTTGGGCTCATTAGGTTTTTACCTCCTGTTCTTTTGGTGTGGGCCCAAGGGTCTGCAGAGCACAAACTTAGCTGTTTTTTTGTTTTTTTTTTTTAACTAATATCATGAATAGTTGTTTCAAACAACTGCAGATTTATTCAGAAATGTTAATTCTGTTGTTGCACATATTTTAGGGTAGGCCTTGTTGCATTTGTGAAGTTGTTAGTAAATTGGAAGAAGATACAAACCCAGTGCAATTCTATCACCCCAGCCTTCAGGTTGGTTTTGACAGTTTCTGCTCGGAATGCCCAATTCCAAAGCTCAGGCTGAACTGGAATGTTTCCTGTGGCAGCCCTGCACATCACCCTGCTGTAAAACAGATTCTTTACCTGCTGCATGGGGAGCAGCTTAATTAGACTTAGTTGGCATGTTGTGTGAGCAGTAAGGATCTGCTTACCTAATGGCAGGCTTCCCCCCACCAAGCTTACCTCAGTGGTATGAACAACTTGGATTAGATGGCTGGATTTTGTTTTGTTAGGGCTCCTACAGTTTGTTAAATATGTAAATCAAGAGGCTTAATCGGCCAAGGAATTTCTCCTAAAAGGAGGATTTCTCTATTCAGAACTGCAGGCTGTCACAAGGCAGGGCAGAGTAAAACATAATTTCTCTTCCTGTGCTCCATGTTATTTCAGTGGGTACAGATGAAACTCTGAAACACCAATCTTCTCTGCAGATAGTTTCTTTCTGCCCTGGAAGGGTTTGCCTTAAACCTGGAAGGCTTAGTTAGCATCTGCTACAGACGTGTAGGAACGATGTAATATCTTTTGTGCCTTGTGTTTGTCTGCTGAGCAGTCGAATGTTTCCTGTGGTATTAGCTACAGCTTATCCCTGAGTGCATCACATGCATGGGCAGTTAGTGAGATAAGGCTGGCTGACCAGTCAGTGCTTAGATGGGAAGCTTGAAGGAGCATGGATGAGTTTGGGGTTAGTTTGTTCTGCAGGAGGGACCATTGGTGTTTTAAATGCAGTTAGAGAGCCTGATTTTCCCAGAATCCACAGAATGTTCCATGCACAGGTTGCAGCGAGTGACCAACGTTTTTAATGGCCCAAATCATATAGATTACAGTGATTTTCTAGACAGTATCAGTACTTTTTACCCAGAAGATGTGCAGCTGTAGAGTCACTGGCTGAACTTGCTCCTTTTCTTGCAGAGCCTGTATATCCTTTGGGCCCAAGAATCGCTCCATTGGTGCTGCAGCTAAAAGCCAGGTGAGTGTGGGCTTTGGGTAGAACAACTTCAGAGCAGCAGTGTGGGGTTTGTCACTGCAGATAACAGATGTCCCTGAGCTGCTGCCCTGGTGTCTCCTTAACCAGCGAACAGCTGAGCTGCCCTCAGCTGTTCACCATGGGCTGCTGCTTTGTCATCTGGCAGAGAAATTTCAGGGTTGATCCTTGCACATAATGAAGTGTGAGCAGAATAAAGCTGTGCCTCTTAAGAAATTCTGATAACTACTAATTTCTTTTTTAAGTTGCAAACCTAAATTCACAAGTGGTGCTTCACCCTGCCCTAGTTTGTTCCAGTTCCTATGCTTTATGATGGAATTTAATTATGTGACTCTGTTCAATAGTATTCCATTAAGTGCATGATGGGCAGAAAGGGGGTATATTTGAGTGTAAATAGACAGAGCTTTTGTGACCCTTTGGGGCTGAATTACAATTTAAATATCGCTTTTGGGTGTTCAAGCCCATAGTCTGAGTTTCTGTTGCTATAGGTAGGTAAATGTAATTTAAGGACTGAGAAAAAGTTAAGGTGATTTGTCCTACTTGTGGTATTTGGGTCCTGCTGTATCAGATTTTGTGTTGCTGTGTAAATAACCCCTATAAAAGATGATGTATTTTTTCCGAGTCTTCTACAGGAAGTGACTAGTCAAACAGTTGTTTTTCCTTAGCCTAAAAAGCCTAGAGATTTGTGAAGATTCTTTATCTAAAATACAAAAATGCCTGGACACAGCCATGTTATTCAAGAACAGCACAACTGTACTAGAACCAAACACAGCTGTTTTTTCTGGAATTGAGTCTGCTTAGCTTAACGAAATCCATTGGTGCAGAGCCCTGTAGAGATGAGTATGTCCTGCACAGACTAAACTTAGAGAACATCCAGCCCAAGTTACTTAGGAAGTAGACTCCTGCCTGAGCCCAAATCCCAGGTAATGATCTGTGGAACAGTGCCTGTCTGCTCTCTCAGTGCCTGTGGTTTTCAGTGCGTGCCTCGCTCTGGTGTCAGTGACAGAATTCCCTTCACTTGTGCTACGTGAAGCCAGCTGGGATGGGCTTTCACTTCTCTGTGCTGATCTCTGCTGGTAATGAAAGTCAGTCTACCTTTTGTCAGTTAAGTCCAGGTGATAGCATCATTTTATGGGACCTCCTTACCTCCTAAAGCTTCATGAGCAGGTCCTTGAGTTGTTTTGTGAGAATATCTGTGTGTTGAGTGTCGTGCATGTGATGAACCTAAGCTGGAGTTTACATCCATGTGCTTGTTATGTTTGGGCAATCACTGGTTGTAGAAAGGTAGTGGGTAGAGAATAGGTAAGTGGGAAAGAGATTTTGCTAACAGTTCTAAAGAGTTTCCTACACGTGCCCTATGAAATTTGAATGTGGTTGTAATCAATATTTTATAGACTTGGCTCGGTTTTTAGTGTACATTTTATTTTCCATCTCAAGTTTCTGTAGGTTCCCTGAGCAACCAGAGGGAAGTTGCCTCCCAGCACCTGCCCAGATACTGTTAAGATACAAATGACAAAAATGCCCTGGCAGGAGAAGCATGAGAACAAAACTCTGTCTTCTGTTTGAAATTCAGATGTTCCCCTGCCGCGTTGTATTAAAGATTTCTTTTCCTCTAGGTTATTTCAAATGCAAAGAATACAGTACAAAGTTTTAAAAGATTTCATGGTCGTGCATTCTCAGATCCCTTTGTTCAAGCTGAAAAAGAAAGCCTTGCCTATGAACTTGTCCAGCTGCCAACAGGCTCAACTGGCATCAAGGTAAGTCTGGCATGTTTGAGAACGAGCCAGAGGAGGAAACTGATAAAATTTCCTTTTATTTCTCTGTTTTCAATCTGCTCGCTGTAGTTTGTGTTCTCTTTCAAATGGAAAGCCTTAGTAGGGAAGGGAATAAAAGGCTGATAATGGAGATGGTGCTTGGGTTCCACTGCAGTGTAATGAGCATGCACAATTTTTATTTGAAGGCCATGTATATGGAAGAAGAAAGAAACTTTACAATTGAGCAGGTGACAGGAATGCTTCTGACCAAATTAAAGGAGACTGCTGAGAATGCGCTTAAGAAGCCTGTGGTTGACTGTGTTGTTTCTGTAAGTATGGAATCCAACAAAACACACAGAACTAGTTACTGTCTGAACTGAAATGGCTGCAGCATTCAATTAAATCTGATTAAATTGGCCAGTAAACTTAAATGTCTAGGTATCTTTCTTTTCTGTTTAAACAGAATCTTACACCTCTTGGAAACTAGACTTACATCATTAATGGTCTTAAATTGCTGCTAATTAGAAGTATAAGTAATACTTGATTCCTATTTTCTGATTATGTGCTCCAGAAATGAGTGCCTTGTGATGTAAAATAGAAAAAGGAACTTTGTCTTTATGTATTTTTTTTCGCTTTTCCTCTATTGCAACTGAAATGAGCACTGCATTTGAAGGAGCTTTGTGCTCCATGAGCTCACTGTCCACCCTTGTAACTGTTTCCTGAAGGTGGCTCCTGGAATTGCTAATATTTGCTCTCTGACCTCCTTGCAGGTTCCTTGTTTCTACACAGATGCAGAAAGGAGATCTGTGATGGATGCTACCCAGATTGCTGGTCTCAACTGTCTGAGACTAATCAATGAAACAACTGCAGGTAATTTCTACCTGTCTCACACTCAGTGTTGCAGTTTTACTACGTGAAAAGATTTTTATTCTGCCAGTGAGCCTTGCTTTCTGGAGTTACAGCTGGTTTTATACACTTGGAATAGATGAGTTGATCAGAAAGTTTCTTAAATACTAGCTTGTCTTTTCATTATTAGAAAGGCATAAAGATATTTGGTGAATATCTGTTTTAATGAGGGAGGGGTGGTACTGTTTAATGTTCTTCCATGTTTCTTTGGCATTGAGAATTCTGTTTATTCAATGTCTGTAGCTTGAGGAGCATGATAAAATGCTAATGCTGATTCCTGATTGCCACTTATTTCTTGATAATTACAAACCTTTGTGTCCTAACTATACTTTTATTTCTGTAGTTGCACTTGCATATGGGATCTATAAGCAAGACCTGCCTGCCTTTGAAGAAAAGCCACGGAACGTTGTTTTTGTGGACATGGGGCATTCTGCATATCAAGTTTCTGTTTGTGCATTCAACAAAGGCAAACTGAAAGTAAACAATCTGTTACACATCCATTTTGATTATCTGTAGAACATTTATCAGCACATCCATGGACTGTGGCAGGCAAGCCTGCCTGGCTTCACAGAGGGGCATCCACACAGTTCAATTCTTGTTCTTAAAATTGCACTTTGTCTGGAGCAAAAAGTAGGTCAGGGAACTAGAGGGCTTTTGAGCAGTGTGTGGAGGAAGCAAACATGCCTTAATCAGCAGGCAAAGAATAAAAAACCTGGATTAAATGGTTTATTCAGAAATTATCATATCTGACTGTGCTGCTTTCAGAAAATACTCCAATTCAGTCATGAGATCTGGTGTTGAAGCAGCAATTCCTGCAGTGGTGTAAGTGACAGATATTGTTGAACCCTCACTGTGGTTCAAGTACAGGATAAGAAACATTCCTGATTGCTTTAAACTGCCAGTGGAAGCTCAGCAGATGACAGTGTACTTGTGAGTGTACACTGTCATAGCGTTGCTGTTTTGCAGCAAGCACTAACATTTCTTCTGGCATTTTTATTTTATTATTATTATTAATTATTACAATCTGGACCTGGCAGTTGAAATACCTTTCTAATGATTGGCTGGAGAAAGAGATGCAGAATTTAAATTATGAGGTAGTGAAATGCAGAGAAATGTTCTGACAACATTCGTTTTCTCAGTTTTATTTATTTGAGGAAATGGAACCTTTGTGTTTCTTTTGCATTTGTTTTTTAAACTTGGAAGCCATGCCAGTGTGGAAAGGATGCTTTGGGTTCCAGAGTGCAGGGCTGTTAGCCTGTGTAGAGGCCAAAGCCATCTGAAAGGTATTGAGGGTAATGATTTCTGTTCCTAAAAAAATTAATTCCTGGTGTGTTTACAGAGCAGAATGAGCTGAGGTGGGTGGGCTGCAGGTGTTCTTTGCAGATAATTCCTTCATCAAAAAGGAGCACCTGTTTTAAGAGTTAATATTATTTATTTGCTTCCTGTTTTATTTTTAGCTTGGTGTAAGCATGTTCCACCCTTAGGAGGCATCAAATATTAAACTGGGATATGACTCAAACTGACAGTGGCTAAGCAGAATTTGGAGCAGAGATCTGCTCTCAGCAGAAGCTATGGAGCAGATTGTGTTGCTAAGTCCTGCCCGATATCCCTGAATTCCTTTAAAAGCAGTTGTCGCCTTATTCCAGGAAGGCGATTTCTCTGACTTAGAGTTAAACTATGTTTGAAACAAAGCACTGCTTTGATGTAGACTGCTGATTGCTTTCATTGGGTAATGGCACATTGTACTGTTACTGAAGGGTTCCCTTCCTTTAAGGTTCTTGCTACAGCGTTTGATACAACCCTTGGAGGCAGGAAGTTTGATGAGGTGTTGGTGGAATACTTTTGTGAGGAGTTTGGGAAGAAATACAAACTTGACATCAAGTCCAAGATCCGAGCACTGCTGAGGCTGTACCAGGAGTGTGAGAGGCTGAAGAAGCTGATGAGTGCCAATGCCTCTGACCTGCCCATGAACATAGAGTGCTTCATGAATGATATAGATGTGTCTGGAACCATGAACAGGTAACCTTGGGGTTTCCCCTACAAGGGGAAACTTCAGAGTGCCCTTCAGGCAGTTAAAAACTTGGTATGAAGTGTCAGCTCTTAGGGCTGCAGGGAGGTGAGAAATCAAAGAGCAACATGTGCAGGAATGCTGCTGGAAATGCAAGTGTTTAGAGCCTGGTCAGTGGCCTTGAGGTTAAGAGGGAGGACTGGGGATGTTGCAAGAATGCCAGGAACCAGGTTTTGTCTGGGAGAACATACAAAGTATAAAGCTGGGACTGGGGGAGAGAAAACCCTGCAGTACACAGTGAAAATGTCATTCCTTCAGTTTGGGCATCCTGTTGTTTGCAATGTTTCTTTATGGTGTGCTAGAGCTTTGTTTATGCCTTCTTCCAACAGAAGCAAATTTTTAGAGATGTGTGAAGGACTTCTGGCAAGAGTGGAACCTCCCCTTCGCAGCGTGCTGGAGCAAGCCAGTAAGTGGGGGTGTGGGGATAAGGGGTGCTCTGCATGCAGACAGGAGCCAGCCAGAGTGCAGGCTGCCTTTGCATGTTGGACACAACGGTTACCACAAACAACAGTTTCTTGCTTAGGAATTACAAGATTAAAAAACTTTCTCACCCAAGCTAAGAGCTGAAATTTTTACTTTGCCTAAAGATGGTCTATTAAAACTTCCGGTTTATATGTTGGTGTGTTAATGTGAAAGAGAAACATTTCATGTATTGTCTGACTCCTTTCTAGGGTTGAAAAAGGAGGATATTCATGCAGTAGAGATAGTTGGTGGTACCACAAGAATCCCTGCTGTCAAAGAGAAGATCAGTAAATTTTTTGGCAAAGAAGTCAGTACGACCCTGAATGCGGATGAGGCTGTGGCACGAGGCTGTGCACTGCAGGTAAAAAGTGCTGTTTGCTTTAGCTGTGAGAATATTAAGCAGCATCAATAGCGACTTGCTGAATGAAATGCTTGTTCACCTAAAGTCTGAACATTTGTAATGTGGCTTTTGTGCTCTTGCAGTGTGCAATTTTGTCCCCGGCTTTCAAAGTGAGAGAGTTTTCTATCACAGATTTGATACCGTACCCCATTTCTTTGCGATGGAATTCGCCAGAAGAAGCTCTGAGGTAAAATCAGTACAATCTTCTTGCATGTTACAGCTTAAAATTACTGGTGATGATTAGAGTAAATAACAAACATCAATAAATACCCTTAGAACAGTGTATTTCCAGGGTTAAATGCCCATTTAACACTTCCAGTTTTGATACTTGTGACGTTAATGATGGCAGAAAACAAAACCAAGGTTGAGTGGCAGTTTGGCACTTCCTGCGTGGCTGTTTTGTTACTTAACCTGAAAGATCAGGACAGTCTTGTCACTTCTTAAGGAAACTTTTTCCCTAAGAGTATCCAGAAATGTTTAGTTACCTTACCAGCTGTGTTGTCATACTGAACACAGGCTGTGTTTTCTCTTGCAGTGACTTTGAGGTCTTCCCCAAGAACCACCCTGCTCCCTTTTCCAAGGTCCTCACTTTCTACAGGAAGGAGCCCTTCACTCTGGAGGCCTACTACAGTTCCCCCAAGGAGCTGCCTTACCCAGACCCTGCTATAGGTTAGCACCATTTTGTACCTTTAACTAAGAGTCTTTCCTGGGTTTCAAACCTTTTCTTTCTAATTAGGGTGGACATGCAACCTACTGCAAATGCTCTCAGGACAACATTTCAAAGGCAGTTTTAGTAAAATAGGTGGAGTAGCATGAAGTTTATGGGCAAAAAGCTCCTAATACTGGGGTAAACATGAAAGGGGCACACTAAGAGTTGTGCAATCTTTTGCTCTGATAAAAGTAACACCAGGTTTGACATAAAGAATTCCCAGTAGCTGTGCCCCAGCATTGCTGAGTAAAAAAACTGGATTGTCCAACTTGAGTGGGTTTTAACATTCCCTGAGCACACTGCAGTCAGCTGTGTCAGTGGCAGTTGGGGTTTGCTTTGCATTCAGAACTGAGGTTAATCAAAAGTGTTTGTTTTTTGTTTTTTTTTGTCTATGTAGCTCACTTCTTGGTTCAGAAGGTCACTCCTCAAACAGATGGATCCAGTTCCAAAGTGAAAGTCAAAGTTAGAATAAATATCCATGGCATCTTCAGTGTTTCAAGTGCATCTCTGGTGGAGGTTCATAAATTTGATGAGAACGAGGAGCCAATGGAGACAGATCAGCACGCGAAGGAGGAAGAGGTAACAGACTCACTGCTCCCAGCTGCTCAGAATCCCCAGGAAACACAGCTGGCCATGGGCTCAGGCTCGTGTAAGGATTTACTAGACATGCCCACAGCTGAAATACGAGATAGAGTACTCATTGTAGTATGTTGCACCAGTGATAGATCTCTTGAAATTAGGACTTGAGGTGTAGATCTCATTCTTACTGATAGAGCTGTGGCTTGCTGGAGCAAAGACTGGAGCTCATAATTTATTCCTGCAGTTTTCATTCTGTTTGTTTTGCCTAAAGACCATTAGAGGTGTTATGGGATCAGTCTAGGAACTGAAGCAGTGATCTGCATTTTTTTAATGTGTGAAATTGGATCTCTCTGAATTTCAGAAGATGCAAGTAGACGAGGAGCAACAAAAGGCTGAAGAGCAACAGCAAACCCAGCCTGAAAATAAGGCAGAGTCTGAAGAAATGGAGGTAACAGGAGCATTTGAGACTTTCTTTTAATGAGATCTGTGAGAATATGAGGAGTGTGAGCACATTTGCTACCTTTGTCATAGTTCTGGAAGCTGAACTTGTATTTCAATGCACTGGTGGTCCATTGTGATTAGACCTTTAGAAAGGACACAAATAGCACTGATAACTGCAGACCTGTCAGGTGACCTGGTACTGATAAAATGGGGGAACTCTCCTGTTCAGGGAAGAAATAATCATCTAGTTTTCAACAACTTGAATACTAGAATAGTGTTCTGCCATGAGCACCCTCTCCCATGAATGTAGAGTGCCCAGAAAAGGTCAGTGGCTGCATTAATTGTCTCAGGCTTCAGCAGATGAGGTGTCAGAATGGCAGGGAGTGCTTGGTTTTCTTGTTGAGGTGCTAACTCAGTTTTTCTGATGTAAACTTTGACTGCTCCCCTTGAACTGAGTGGTGATGCTGTTTTTACTGTGAATGTAATTATATTTTAATGCAGACTTGCCAGGCTGACTCGAAGGACAAGAAAGTGGATCAGCCACCTCAGGCCAAGAAGGCCAAAGTGAAGACGACCACAGTGGACCTTCCCATCGAGAACCAGCTGGTGTGGCAGATTGGGAAGGACATGCTCAACTTGTTCATTGAGAACGAGGTAAACTCTTCCTGCCAAGCAAAAAACGTCACTTGTTGGTCTCCAGAAATGCTGTTGTTCATTAAAACAGTTAAGGATGGCCAAGAAAAGGATTAAAAGGAATAAAACAAGTGGTTAGAAGTCAGAGGTGAACAACAGTGCCCCGTGGACGCAATATACATTTATTGTTCCTGGTCAGGGGAGCTGTCACTCTCAAAGGGCTGTTCTGCAGAAAACCTCCAGAAGGTGCAGGTGGCCCTCAGGGTGGAGGTTCCTCAGCTGGAGGAGGATTGGACATCACACCAAAACTGAAATCAGTTTTCAGGCATTTGCTGTGTTAGAACAGTTTTGCAAAATCTTGATCTGGTTTGAGCCTTTGCTAACAAGGTGCCCTGGAAATAAATGTTAAATAATGAGCTTTTTAGTCAATTAATTTGATACCTTGTTCACAGGGTAAGATGATAATGCAGGATAAGCTGGAGAAGGAGAGGAATGATGCCAAGAATGCAGTGGAGGAGTATGTGTACGAAATGAGAGACAAACTCTGCAGTGTTTATGAGAAATTCGTCAGTGAGGATGTGAGTATTACTGCTCAGCTGTCCTGATACATTGTGGTACAATCAGCAGTTGGACTTAGTAATGCTTGACCTGTATCACATACTATACTTATATAAATTACATAGTCAGACTTAAAATTTGAAGAAATCATTGTAACCTTTCTGGCTCTGATGATAATCTACTAAATGTAGACAACTGTATCTGAACTGGTTGTCTAAAAATCTCTTGGTATTATTAGGCAGCTTTCCCTGTTTTACTGAAGGAGCTTGGTGTGTAATGAAGTTAACTCCGCTTTTAGGGATGACTGAACACCTGAGTGCATCTCCATTGACTGCAATGGAGCTTTGCCAGCCAGGTGCCTGCAGAGCCCAAACTGGGACATGCCAGGTGACATTTATGGCACCTTTGCTAAAGAAGAGTTTCCCTGTGTTCTCAGGCTTGCTTATGTAGTGACAATGTAAACGTGCAGGGGACAAAAAAGCCTTTGATGTAACAGTATTTGATCTGAACTGTGGCTGTCACACATGCTTCTTCCTTGGGCCTGGAATCCAGCACAAAGCTCTACAGAAGAAAATTTATTTCTTACTTTTCTCTAAAATAGGATAAAGCATTCCAGGCAGAGTTCTTTATATTCTAAAAATACAACCCTTCCAGAAAGGTTCCAAGTACCATTTAATGCAGTTTGTTACCTAATAAATGATGTCACCTGCCTGTTTTGTGTGCATTGCTGCAGGATCGAAATAGCTTCACACTGAAGCTAGAAGATACAGAAAATTGGCTTTATGAAGATGGTGAAGACCAGCCCAAACAAATATACATTGATAAACTGGCAGAACTGAAGGTGAGTGGTTTTTACATTCCCATGGGAATTTACCAGAGCTGGAGAACTTTGTTCCAGTCAGGAGCTGTCTGGGGTCTGCTGGTTCTGAGGTAACAACAGCCTGCTTTGGATTGTTAGTGTGTGGGGAGTAGGTCTCCAACAGACCTGTAACAGCAGGGCTGGGGGCGGCTCAGTCTTTCCTGTAAGTTGAAGGAAGAGTCAGAGTTCCAAGGAATTCAGGAAAGTTGATGTATCCTGTCAAACCTTGAGGATCCCTCAGCAATGCTCCATGAGTTTTATACTTGTGCTTTGTTTCAGACTCTGGGTCAGCCTATTCAGGCAAGATTCCAAGAATCAGAGGAAAGACCAAAAGCATTTGAGGACTTGGGGAAGCAAATCCAGCAATACATGAAAGCTGTTCATGCATTCAAAGCAAAGGTATTTTTATACTTAATTTCTGAAAAATGCAAGGAAATGGTACAAATATTTTCTGAATTTTAGGTAAATTTCAGACAAAAATCTGGTGCAACCTCCCAGTGAACTTACGAGTTCTTGATGTTTAATAGACTTTCAGAAGTAGCTTTTGGGCCTTGCACATCTCGGTCCCTTTTTAATCATGTGTTCATTTCCTCATGCAGGCAAAATACCAGCAGCAGGAGATTTTCAGTCTCTGGTTACTGAGCTGTGGGTGATCAGTTCTGTTGATTTGTTAACCACAACAGCTCTTGACTAAATGGGCTTTCAGTATTTTGAAGCTAAGTTTTGAGGATGTCAGGATGCAGGTTGTGCTCAAACTCTGACACAGCTGCTCCTGTTCGGGTGTTGCAGGATGAACTGTATGAGCATCTTGATGAAGCAGACGTGGCAAAGGTGGAGAAGAGCACCAATGAAGCCATGGAGTGGATGAACAACAACCTCAACCTGCAGAACAAGAGAAGTCTTACTTTGGACCCAGTTATAAAAGCAAAAGACATACAGTCGAAAGCAAAAGTACGTTTTTCTGCATAATTCACTGTATTTCTGAATGTTTGTGTTTATTACTCTGATCAGAAAACTCTGAGGTGAGAAATCTCAAAAGTACCAGGGAACATCAACCCTTAACTGGAGCATTCCCAACAGTGGTTTCAGAAGTTAAAGTTCAACAGTGGGAGATAAAACCATTTCTAAGGATGTGTTGTTTCTGTGTTTTCTAGGAGTTGGCAAGTATTTGTAACCCCATAGTGAACAAACCCAAACCCAAGGTGGAGCTGCCGAAGGAGGAGCAGAAGCCGACGGAAGCCAACGGACCATTGGACGGGCAGGGGGACACCGGGAGCGGGACCCAGCCCCCCGAGCAGGGCTCTGCCCCCACAGCCACCGACAAGAAGCTTCCAGAAATGGACATTGACTGAATTTCAGCACTTGTTTATATTATTGCAAACTACAATAAAGCTTTAAGTTGTCGACTTTGTACGTTCTGAATACAAACTGAAGCAAGTGAATCCCACAGCACTCTTGGTAACTCTTGGAGAGGTTTGGGCAGGGCAGCAGGTCAGAACACGGAGGTGGCGAAGGACTCGCTCAGCTCAGCAGTGTTCGCCTTTATTGATTGTATCTAGAAGTTTTGGTAGTCTAACTAGACATCTAGGAACAGCCATAAGCTGCTTCTCCATTTCTAATGTCCAGGCTGAGTCAGTTCTCCCTTGAAGGAGGGAGACAGCAACTTCTGAAGTCTGATGTGCACCCTGCTCTTCCCATTCCCTGTGGGTTGCAGCACTGGCACTGCAGGGAGGGCAGGGGAGAGCCAAGGCAGAGTCTTCCATTGCTCTTGGTTTAGTGTGAATGCCTGCTCTGGACTCACTCTGATTTGCACTGGAACAGTTGATGGTTACAGGAGGTTTGCAGAGCAGGGGGTGGCTCATCAGCACCTTTATTCTTTAGCCCAGGCTGCAGATCAGACTCAGAATGTGCTCCTGGACAGGGGAGTGGGTTTCTCACAAACTCCCCAGCTAATTAGGCCCTGTAAACTCCTTGTCTTTAGTTAAATTAGCTGCTTGTAGAAAGAGTGAATACTTGTATTTCAGCTGCCTATGCTGATAGTTGATTCTGACTTGTTCCTAACTTTTTCTGGCAGGGGTATGCTTGCTTCCATGAGGCCTTCATTTGGAATGCTTGGTTTTTTGTTTTGGTTTTTTTTTTCCAGGAAAACCAAGAACTGATGGATATGTTGGTTTGTTTTGTTTGTTTTTTTTTTTTTATGAGCTTTATACAATGAATTGCTTCTAGTACTGATTGTCATTAAACTTGCAAAAATTAATTTGTATGTGTTAAAATCCAAAGCTGAAAAACACCCATTCAGTTATTGCAAGAAATAAATGCACTGGATTCTACTGGATCATCTGCTGCGGCTGTTGATTCCGAGGCAGAGAGGGCGGTGTGGGCTGGAGGGAAGGGCTGTGCCCCTGGTCCTTGGGCTGTGCGAGGAGCTTTGGGGGGCTGCTCTGGGGCCTTGCGGCTTCCCAGGGGTGTGGGTGGGTGTGTGTAATCTCCGTGCAGTGAGTCGCAACCACGGAATGCGCCGCGTTGGAAGGGGCCCATAGGGCTCAGTGAGTGCTGCCCCCGTGCCCGTTCCGTGCCCGCTCCGTGCCCGCTCCGTGCCCGTCCGTGCCCGTTCCGTGCCCGTTCTGTGCCCGCTCCGTGCCCGCTCCGTGCCCGCTCCGTGCCCGTTCCGTGCCCGTTCCGTGCCCGTTCTGTGCCCGCTCCGTGCCCGTTCCGTGCCCGCTCCGTGCCCGTTCCGTGCCCGTTCTGTGCCCGCTCCGTGCCCGCTCCGTGCCCGTTCCGTGCCCGTTCTGTGCCCGTTCCGTGCCCGTTCGTGCCCGTTCGTGCCCGTTCGCGCCCGTTCGTGCCCGTTCCGTGCCCGTTCGTGCCCGCTCCGTGCCCGCTCCGTGCCCGCTCCGTGCCCGTTCGTGCCCGCTCCGTGCCCTCTCCGTGCCCGTTCGTGCCCGCTCCGTGCCCGCTCCGTGCCCGTCCGTGCCCGTTCCGTGCCCGTTCTGTGCCCGCTCCGTGCCCGCTCCGTGCCCGCTCGTGCCCGCTCCGTGCCCGTTCCATGCCCGTCCGTGCCCGTTCGTGCCCGCTCCGTGCCCGCTCCGTGCCCGTTCGTGCCCGCTCCGTGCCCGCTCCGTGCCCGTTCGTGCCCGCTCCGTGCCCGTTCGTGCCCGCTCCGTGCCCGTTCGTGCCCGCTCCGTGCCCGTTCCATGCCCGTCCGTGCCCGTTCGTTGCCCGTCCGTGCCCGTTCGTGCCCGCTCCGTGCCCGTTCCGTGCCCGTTCGTGCTCGCTTCTTGCCCGTTCGTGCCCGCTCGTGCCCGCTCCGTGCCCGTTCCGTGCCCGTTCGTGCCCGCTCCGTGCCCATCCGTGCCCGCTCCGTGCCCGCTCCGTGCCCGTTCCGTGCCCGTTCCGTGCCCGTTCGTGCCCGTTCGTGCCCAGCACCGCGGCAGGAGCGGCCCCGAGCAGCCCGGGCCGGGCCCTCCCGGCCGCCGGGGGAGCTGCGGGGCCGGCCCGGCGCCTCCTCCGCCCGCCGGCGCTTCCCTTCCCGTCCCTTCCCGTCCCTTCCCGTCCCTTCCCGTCCCTTCCCTTCCCTTCCTTTGCGGTCCCCGCCGCCGCTCCGCCAGGGCAGGGCCGGGTCCCCGCCGCTTCCCCGCCCGCTCGGCCCGGCCGCGGCTGCCCCGGTGAGGAGCGGGGCCGGGCTCGCTCCCGGGCCCGGCCCGCGGCTCGGTCGCCGCTGCTGCGGCTGGCAGTGAGCCCCAGCCCCGGCCTGCTGCGGGGCACGGGGCGCCGGGCGGGCTCTAAGCCGTGCTGCTGTTGTTCGTCCGCAGCGCCGTGTCCGTGCCCCGAGGGACGAGCAGCGCCCGGCCCGGGAGGGATGCTCCGGGAGCGGCTCCCCGGCTCTGCCTCCGCGCTGCCCTGACTCGAGGTAACCCAGCAAACTGGCTTTATTTCCCCAAATGGAGAGCGGAGGTGCTCCACGAGTGCGCCTACAAGATGCCTGTGCGGGATTTGAACCTTTTTGTGGTATTTTCAATCACAAATGGAACTGTTCCCCTGTTTCGTTACTGTTACTAATTCGTTTCTCCTGTGTTTTTTTGGGGGATCTGTTTTCTTCCATACATCAGTGAAACGTCCCTGTGTCAGCTGTGCCGGTGACACCTGTCCCTGTGTCACCTGTGCCTGTATCTCCGTATTTCATTATTTCCCTCCTTACAGCTGTCTTTACACAGTTTGCTTTCTGACTTTTCAATATTCTGTTGGGCATTTAAAAAAAATTTATAAAGCTACCAATATTTTTTTTTTAACCTGTAAAATACCTAATTATATTTCAAATTGTTTTAGATTGGTTACTGTGGTTTTTCTAAAGTTTTCTATGCTATAAAATAGCTGCCTCAAATTGATAATTTGAATTGGATGCATTAACTTGGGTGATGTTGCAGAGTGGTGGCAACTCCACAGAAAAGTTAAATGTCTTCAGAGGACAAGGAGGCTCAGGAGGACGAGCTGCTGGCTCTGGCCAGCATCTACGATGAGGATGAGTTTAAGAGAGCAGACTCTGCCCAAGGGGGAGAAACAAGAATTTGCCTGGAGTTGCCTCAAGACTTCAAAATTTTTGTGAGGGGTGAGTTGAGATGTTTTGTGTTATCCCAAGGGAGGCTTTACCAAGCTCAGGTGGTTGTTGGGGAGTGACCTGAGGCAGCAGTGACTGGACAGAGCTGTGGCTCACCCTCTGCTCTGCTTGTTGGGGATTGTGTTTGAGCAGTTTAATCCTCATACACAGAACGTCCTCAGTAAAGTTAGAAATCACAGATGAGTACTAGCACTTCTTCAGAATAATTAAGTTTCTTTATTGGGTTTTTATTCCCCCGAGGATCTGTGTTTCCAGGCTCTGGTTTGTGCAGAATCTGACATTTCACAGTGCTGCTGTTTAACTGCTTTAATCACAGACCTCCAACCCTTGACATTTTACTGCATTGAGAGTTCTGTTATTTAAGGTGGAACAAATAGTTTTAACCCCAGAAATATATCCAATTAACAGACACTGGGTGCTGTCAGAAGCAGTAACAGTTGGTTCATTTTCATTTTTCTGCTATTTCTCCCACTGCCTTGGTGGGCCCTGGCTCAGGCAGTTCCACAGAGAGCCTCCAGAGCAGTGGATTCGAGTACTCCGTGTGCTTCCTGCCTCCCCTCGTGCTGAATTTCGAGCTCCCACCCGACTACCCATCAACCTCCCCGCCCGTGTTCACCCTCAGTGGGAAATGGCTCTCCCAGGCCCAGGTTTGCAGAGGATTTTTTTACATTTTGACTGCTGAGTAAGTTAATTATTAACAGTTAAGCAAAGTAAAAAAACCAATGACGTTGCTCCTCAGTTGGCTCTTTATCTCTTGCTGGTTTTCATTTGAGTACTATTCTGAAGAAGGAAAACTTGCATCTGCGAGAACGGTTTTATTCAGCATGAAACTGTTGAATCTGAAATCAAAGTTTGCACTAAGGACTGTGTGAGGGGAGGAGCCCAGTGGGGAGGTACAAACTTAATAAAATCAGGAATTCTCTGTTCCTCCCCAGCTCAGCGCTCTTTGCAAGCACTTGGACAACGTGTGGGAGGAGAACCGAGGCTGCGTTGTGCTCTTTGCCTGGATGCAGTTTCTGAAGGAGGAAACGCTGAATTACCTGAATATCTCCTCACCCTACGAGCTGCAAATGTGCCCTCAGGGGAAGGGGCAGGGCCGGACAGGAGTGGGGCCCCCCGAGGCTGGGAAGGACTGTGGGGGTGCCACAGGCTCTGCCACAGCTGAGGAGGAGATGGTGGATGCCAGGGCCGTGCAGGATGTGGAGTCCCTGTCCAGTCTGATCAGGGAGATCTTGGACTTCGACCAGGCGCAGAGGAGGAAGTGCTTTAACAGCAAGATGTACTTGTGCAGTATCTGCTTCTGTGAGAAGCTGGGCAGTGAGTGCATGCACTTCACCGAGTGCAGCCACGTGTACTGCAAGGCCTGCCTGAAGGACTACTTTGAAATCCAGATCAGGGATGGACAGGTGCACTGCCTCAACTGCCCCGAGCCCAAGTGTTCTTCTGTCGCCACTCCAGGCCAGGTAATTCCCATGCACAGGGGCTGGGAGCTCTGGAACCCAGCCCGAGTTCAGGGCCTGGCTGTGGCCCTGCAGCTGGACATTGGCAGTCAGAGTCATTTAGGTCAGAAAAGACCTCCAAGGTCACCAAGTTCAGCCTTTGATCCAGTCCCACCGTGTCACTAAACTGTGTCAGGAAGTGCCACTTCCTTGGACACTCCAGGGATAGGGATCCAAACCCTGGGCAGTTCCAATCCCTGACCCCCCTTTCCATGGGGAAATTCCTGCTGATGTCCACCCTGAGCCTGCCCTGGCCCAGCCTGAGGCCGTTCCCTCTCCTCCTGTCCCTGTTCCCTGGAAGCAGATCCCTGACCCCCTGTGACCTTTTGGAGAATCTAAAGTGGATCCATCCATCTCTTGGTACCTTTTCAGTGACTTGCTGTTTGTTGCTGCAGCAGGCTCAGAATTACAGATGCAAGGAATCAGGGAATCCCAGCCTGGTTTGGGTTGGAAGGGACCACAAAGCTCATCCAGTGCCACGGGCAGGGACACCCTCCACTGTGCCAGGCTGCTCCACGTGCTGTCAGCCTGGCCTTGGGCACTGCCAGGGATGCAGGGATGCTGTGGGCAGCTGTGCCAGGCCTGGCTGCGTGTGGGTGAAGCTGTGTCGCCTGCCTGGGCTGTGTTGGCAGGTGAAGGAGCTGGTTGGGGAGGAGCTGTTTGCCCGCTACGACCGCCTGCTGCTGCAGTCCAGCCTGGACCTGATGGCCGACGTGGTTTATTGCCCCCGGCCTGGCTGCCAGACCCCCGTCATGCAGGAGCCCGGCTGCACCATGGGCATCTGCTCCTGCTGCAACTACGCCTTCTGCACCCTCTGCAAGATGACTTACCATGGCGTGTCCCCCTGCAAGGTCACTGCAGGTGAGTCCCCTCCCCTGGGCTCCACGGTCACGCCCGCACACAGCTCAATCTTGGGTGGAAAAATCCAAAGCTGGGTGAGGGAGCTCCTGGCCCTGAGCTTTCTGAAAGGTGCTCTCATTTGGAGGAGGGCTGTTGCTGGCAATTAAATATTCCTTTGGTGAGACTCCTCAGCTCAGGAGCTCCCTAAACTGCTGGTTGTCAAGTGCTGAGAGGCCGTAGCAGGGGAAGAATTCCTTTATATTTTTATTTGTATTGTCATAGAGTTAATTCTGGAATCAGGTGGAGCCTTCTCTGTCTGGCCTTAAAATGCTGTGACAGAATTTCATTAAATATATAGTCAGAAAAAAAAATCCATTTTCAGTTTATTTTACATTGTTCTAATTCCATCAGCAGATCTCTTTTATAATAAACAGTGTAAAACTGCTGAATTTTGATACAGAGTGGTTTTAATATTATCAACTTATATATTTTAATAGTTTTCTTGCTTTTTAATTAATGACATTATTGTTTTTTGAGAATATTTGTGCTGCAATTAGCTGGACTTCTATATCTAATATCTTACAAAAGCTGTCTGGTTTGGTTTGATTTTGCCTCCCAGAGAAATTAATGGAGCTGAGGAACGAATATTTAGAAGCAGATGAGGCAAATAAAAGATTTTTGGAACAACGCTATGGCAAGAGAGTGATTCAGAAAGCCCTGGAGGAGATGGAGAGTAAGGAATGGCTGGAAAAGAACTCCAAGTCTTGTCCTTGCTGTGGGACCCACATTGAGGTGAGTGAGGAGGGGAAGGCTGGGGAATCATGGAGCAGAAAATAACCCACAAGGAAGCAGTTCTGGGTGTGTTGGAGTCTCTGGGGAGAGGAAATCTCTAGGAAATACTAAGAGAGCTTCCCATTTCTGTGTGGCATGGAAAAGGAGGTGAGGTGGGTCCAAGGACTGGAGTACAAACAATGACAGGCTCCCACACTAAACAGATCCAGGCTGACTCTGGATCTGTATGAATCCTTTTGTTTTCCTGGTGTTTCAGGTTACCCCTGGCTCACACTAGAGCCAGGAAATCAATCCAGCTTCAGAAAAAGACTTATTTCCAGTATTTTTAGTATTTTAACCAATTTCCAGTGCTGGGATCCCAGTGTGTGGTGGAGCCAGGGAGGGGAATGTGCTCACTGTTCTGGTTCTGGGGGCTGCTGGCAGAGAGGGACAGGCCTGCCACAGTGGGTCCCTTATCACCATTTCTTGATTTTTTTCCCCCAGAAACTGGATGGCTGTAACAAGATGACCTGCACAGGGTGCATGCAGTATTTCTGCTGGCTCTGCATGGGCTCCCTGTCCCGGGCCAACCCCTACCGGCACTTCAACGACCCCTCCTCCCCCTGCTTCAACAGGTGGGTGCTTCAGGGACCCCCCCACTGCTGGAACACCCATTTGCTGCTTTTCCTCACAGTCTCTCCCAGATTCTTACCTGACATTTGTAGCCACAGTTTAAGACACAGTTTCTCCTCTCAAATATTTGCACTAACAGTAAAAATCAGGAGTGGTTCAGGATATGGTTTTGCTTTTGAAGGACTTTGGGTTTAAAATTCTGGAGGAGTCCTCTGAGCCTATTCCTGGTTTTTTTGGTCAGGTCATGACCTCACCCTTTCTGTGCTGCCACAGCCTGCAGGGAAGTGCTTCCCTGCCAGTGCTCAGGAGCAGCTCGAGGATTTGGGGAAGAGCTGCTTCAAGGAGCTGCAGATTTGCCTGACATTCCCTTGGGGATGTGGGACAGGAGACAGGCAGGTGACAGCAGAGGGACAATGCCAGCCTCTCTTGTCCCTTCCACAGGGCACAGATGGTGGTTTGTGATACTGAAAAAGCCAAGGGAACTTGCTGTACTTGTTTTTGCATTTAGGGTGATGCTTTTTTAACGTATTTTACTTTTTTTTACACCCTGATAACAACACTGCTTTTCTGTCTTGCAGATTGTTTCAAGCCATGCACATTGATGATAGGGAGTTCTGGGAAGTGGAAGATGATAATCAGTAGCTTCCTCCAGCACCAAAAGGTGAACAAACCAGAGACAGATGCTTTTTGTGTCCTCTGTTTGCTTTTCACTTCCATTGTGTGACAGAAGAGTGGTAACTGCACTGCAGGACACTCACACCTCAGAGCCTGTTGCCAAAACCAAAGGAGACCTTTTCCCCATCCTGGGATCAGGATCATCATGGAACGCCCAAACAAACATGTCCATTATTAAAGTCAGAAATTGGAAATCCATTGAAAAAAATATATAAAAAGGTGCCCCTTTTTTTAAAAGCCAACAGACAAAATTGAAGCCTCAAATCCTGGAAGTATTTTGGGGGTTTCCTTCAGGGAGACTCACCCTTGGATCCTGAATATTGTGGGGTTTGGGGTGGTTTGGTGGAGCTGCAGTGCTCTCTCTGGAGCTGCTTGCACTGGGGGAATTTTCTGATACAATACAGACAATTTCTTCTGTATTCAGCAACAAAGTTTGTTGCTTCTGAGTTTCCTGATGTGCTTCTCTGAAAAGCAGCTCCTGGCTCTGTCACTGGTACTTTCTAATGACATTAAAGCTGATTATCCCCAACCCCTCTCGTTGGCTGCTGTGCCTGAGCCTTTGCATCCCTGAGAGTTTGGGCAGCAAATGACCAACAGGCATTTCCAGGGATTTCTGTGAGGTTGGTGACTCCCTGTGTTGCTGTTGGATTCCCTCACCTTGCCTGTCCTTGTTTTGGCAGGGATGAGGATGTGACCAGTGAGGGTACAAAGTATCAGGAAGAGATGAACTTGAATTCTTCAAGATACTGACAATTACCTGTTGTTCTCAGTTGATGAAGTATTTATTTTTAATTAACTCTTCCTATAAGAAATTTGATGGTTGATACTTTTGCTTCTGGACTAGATCCTTTCTTTCCACTGGTTTTGCACTTTAAATTATTTCAGTAACAAAATTGTTTCCCCTAAAGTCTCAGCAAGTGGTTTTGAGTATGAATGTGATTACTGGAGGCAAACACTGATTTTTTTTACAAGTTTTTCCACTTGCAGAACAGTCTAAAAGGTTATTTGGAAAATAAAGCTGCATGTGCTGTGTTCAAGAACAGTAAGGCCTGGATGGAAAGCTCTGGAGCTGAGACTCCTCAGCAACTGCGTGTGATCACAGCTCACTCAGCTCTGACTGAGACTTAATAAATTTATCCTGGGATGTGTGGCCAAAACAAGTGGTGCTTCAGTTCCCTGTGCAGAGGAGGAGTCTGCACTGTTGGAACTGGCACCGAGATTAAAGAGATGGAAGGAAAAGGAAATCTCACCTCAGCTGAATCTCTAGGTCAGTGTGTAGGTGAAGTGTATGTTGTGGATGGTTTGTTTTTCCTGCACTAAATTCAAGTCACTAAGTTCACCTTAGGATGGTAAATGCAGTGTCCCTGTTTGTCTTCCTTCTGGCATGGATTTGGCAGCACAGGTGTGCCCAGGTGCTCCTGGGAGTGGGACAGCCCAGAGCTCCCACCTGGAGCTGGCAGGGCTGTGCTCTGCTGGTGGGATTTAATGTGTTCAGAGTGCCTTCCCACCCCGAGGGCCCTGCCTTGCCCTCCGAGGAAAACCTGCCAGCAAACACTGGGCAAGGAAGGGGAGCAGCAGGAGCTCTTCCCACCACACTGCCTCCAGGACTGCTTTGCTACCACGAGCACACTGAGACCAAGCACCAGATACAGCCAAATGTCACCATTTTAAAAAACTAAAGACATTTAGTGAACAAAGTTACATTACAGATCAACAACTTACAAAACTTCTGTATAAAGAAAATAAAGTTTGCCCAGTTTTCTTGCCCCTTATGTGAGAGCACTGGACAGAAATCGCATTTCCGAATTGGTGGGGTCTTGGCTGTTGTCCACCTGTGTGGGGTGTCTGTAATTAAACAGAGGCTGACAGAGTGTTAAACAGAGTGTTTCCTTTGGGGCTGGTTTGGCATTTCCTCAGAGAAATGGAAATTTCTGGAGAGCACCAGGCACAGCAAATCATAGCTGGGCCTGAACATGAACAAGGGCTTTGTGTGTGACACCAGTGACATCCTCAGGTGCCCGAGCTGCACCCTGGACCCTGTGTGGGGGATGCTGCTGGAGGTCTCAAGTCCAACAGTGGCTCAAAGCAGGGCTCAGCCAGGGCTTTATCCAGTCAGTTCTTGGCAGTCTCCTAAGGAGAGAGCCTGCACAGCCATGGGGATCCTGTCCCACTGCTTTTCTGTTCCCACAGTGGGGTTTTACCCTCTCCAGCGCGAGCATCCTGTCTCCACTCCCACCCCACTGTCCCTTCTCTTCTTCCCCCTGGCTCCATCTTCCTGCTGCCTTCTCCTGGCTGTGGGTGCTGCTCTGAGCTTTCCCTTCTCCAGCTGGACAATCCTCTTTTCCAGGATTCTAATATAAGAGTGTTTCATGGAGGAGGCAGGAATAACAGATACTTGTCCTAATTGCAAGGAGTACACCCCAGAGTTATCACCCACTTGTTTCTGAAACATTGTGCTTTCATTTATCCTCACATTTCAGTTCTGCAGCCTTCAGTCTGTGATTACAGTCAGTTCACAGATCAAACAATTCATTCTTCATTTCCTTCAGAGAATGAGTTGGTGGCAAAAGTTTGTGGAACACAGAACACTGGATCCCATCCTCCTTTGGTTAATTAAGGCAGGTGTTTGGCATCTGTCTCTTCAATGGAGAGAGGGAACCATATGATCATTCTGCTAATTTAAGAACAAATACGAGATCAGTTTCTGCAGCAATTCCCTTTTGTCCCAGCTGTTCTCAGCAGCTGGTTCAGCACTGCCCCAGCACATTAATCACTGTATGGCTTCTTGGGCTGGCTCCTCTCTGCTCCCATCTCCTTCATGCTGTACAAGGGCTCCACGAGCTTGTTGTGAACCAGCATCAAACCTGATGGAGAGAGTCAAAAGGTAATTTTAGTAGACATAATAAAGGAAAATTCTCCTTCATTGGATACTAATGGAATTAGACATCACTGTTGTCCTTGTGCCTTTGCTTCCACACCAAGCATTAAGCAATTACCTTCACAGGTACTACTGTGGTATATTTAAGGAATATACCTTAAATACAAGGAATAACTCCTTTGGGAGTTAGTAAGGAATTATTAGGGAAGAATTACTAAGGAGTTATTAAGGAATAACTCCTTTGGGAGTTACTTATACAGCAACACTTCTGCAAAGCATGGCTCGTGGCTCCTAAAAATGCAACAGAAGAGCTGCCTGGCCTGGTCAAACACTCACCTTTGAAGTATTTCACCGTTTTGACTTTGAGCTCCAGAGTGGCGTCCTCGTCGCACACGAACACGGTGTTGGGGTGCTGCTGGAAGGCCGACACCGTCCACATGTGGTTGACACCGTCCTCGATGGCTTTGTACAGAGCAAAGGCTTTGTGGGCTCCCGTGATCAGGATCATCACCTGCACCCCCAGACACACAGAGGGGCAGTCAGGGCCTGGCCGGGGTCAGGGGAGCCCAGCCACGCCCTGCCAAGCTGAGAATGGGGACACCCCTGTCACCCTCCCCACAGCCACTTCTCTGTGCTGCTGCTGCTGCTCTGGCTGCTTCAGCTCTCAGTGACATCACAGCCTGCTGCGTCACTGCAATGATCCTTCAGGCACCTGCACACTGACATTTAACAAGTGTAGATCAAGAATAGATTCCAGTAAAAGTAGTCCCACAGTTTTCATGGCCTGCTGGTGTGACATCAACTCAAGCAGTTACTCTCCAGGTAAGATTCCTAACCAAAGACACTCGCCCAAACCTCCCCGGCTCCCTGGGGGGAACAGCTGCTGCAGGGTTACACAAACACAAGTGCCAGCAGAGACACGGAGCAAGAGCCTCTCCATGGTGTTGCAGGATGCCAGAGGACAGGAGGATCAGGCATTCTGTGGCAGAACACCCTACACCAGAGGACACGTGGCTGCTCCATGACAGGATAACCTTTGGCTGCTCCAGAGGAACTGCAGGAAGCCTCTTCTTATTTCCTCACCTCTCTGGCATCCATGACAGTGCCTACTCCAACTGTCAAAGCCATGGTGGGCACTTTGGAGAGGTCACCATCAAAGAACCTGGCATTGGCCAGTATGGTGTCCATGGCCAAGGTCTTCACTCGTGTCCTGGACACCAGACTGGATCCCGGCTCGTTGAAGGCGATGTGACCGTCGGGGCCGATACCTGGACAGGGACAGCGTCAGCAGAGGCTCAGCTGAGCCAGCAGAGCCAGCAGCTCTCCCAGGAGAAGCACAGGCAGTGCTCCTGGGATCACAGAGCTCAGAAAAACCCCTGCAGTTCCTCTGCTCCAGCTCAGATTTGTGTCTGCTAGGAACAACATCAAGAGCCCCCTCAGGAGCCACCAGACAGTGCCCTGATTGCACTGGCACAACGACAAAGCAAAGCAGGTGGCAGAACCTTATGGCAAACTGGGAAGAGCTTGTGTGGGAAAAGCTTCCCAAAATGTCTTCCCAAAAATGGGAAGAGCTTGTGTGGGAAAAGCTACTCCCAGCAGTTTCCTGTTGCCACTGACAATTGATAAATACCTCCTATTTGTACAGTTCCAGCCCTTCCCATTTCTCCTGCTAACACTTCCTGAACAATTCACTGCCTGCACTGAAAGCCCTAAAGCTGGGAGTGTAGGCAGGGAGACAAGGTCCCCAGTGTCCTGCTGCCAGGACACTGCAGTGCCCAGGGCCAGGGACTGTGGGGTGGATTTCACTGCAAATGCACTGAAAGTGAATAATCCTGGCAATAAATGAGAGCTGGGGAGGACAGGCACAGCTCTGGGACAGGTTTTAGAGGCCGCTGCTCTCGGGTTCTCACCTCCAACAAAGAGCTCGATGCCTCCAGCTGCTTTGATTTTCTCCTCAAATGCATCACACTCAGCCTGGAGATCAGGGGCATTTCCATCCAAGATGTGGACGTTTTCTGGTGAGATGTCGATGTGCTTGAAGAAGTTATTCCACATGAAGGAATGGTAACTTTCTGGGTGATCCCTCGGGAGGCCTGGTAACAGAACACGCAGGACTGAGGCCAACTGGAACAGCATCACCCATAACAAAGCACTTCCACACCCCTGCAGTGGCTTTGGTGACAGAGCAGTGCTCTCTCTGTCCTTTGTCACACCCTCAGCTTTCAGAGCTGTTTTTATTTCCCTAAATACCAGAATTAATCTCAGCTCCTGTAAGACACATGCCCATATTAATATACAACAGATGTTCAAAAAGCAGGTGTATGCTGTGCCTCCTCTGCCAGTACCTTTTCAGCCCTTTTCCCATTTCATATTAGTAAGAATTACTAAAAAACTGTACAGAAGCCTGGGAAATAATAATTACTGTATAATTATTGCATATTTACCCCCCCTTGAATGCTGTAAACCCACACTGGACTGCTTATTGGGATACCCACTAATTCTGCTGGATTGGAATCATTCACAGAAAAAAACCCTCTTTGACCAGGATAAAATTAACATTAGCAAATATTTAGCTTGTATGTTTTTCACCTTTGGATCTATTTCTTCTGAGGAGACTGTTTCACCATGACTGCAGAGATGGCATGACTTTGCTATCTCAGCAGGAGATACCAGAGGGCTCTCAGGGAACACAGTGGTCGTTGTAAGGGACCTTTATAATCCCAGAGCAAAGGTGCTGAGCCTGCAGTGATAAGCTGTTCCTTGCCTGGTCAGTCCCTGAGTGCAGCTAACACACAGCAGTGTCTGTGATGGTGTGTGCAATACTGGGCAACACCCAGCATCCAGTTTTGTCCATACGTTTTCAAACCTATGGAAAAAGTTCACATTTCTTCCCTAGGTTTTCAAATTGTCCCCCTTTGCTAATTCCCTGGAGGTGTTTAAGGAAAGACTGGATGTGTTTAAAAAAAGACTGGACATGGCACTTGATGCTATAGTCTAGCTGAGGTGTTAGGGCACAGGTTGGACTTGATGATCTTAAAGATCTCTTCCAACCTCATGATTCTGTGACTCTGTGGCACTCAGAGCCATGGTTCAGCTGACACCGGGGTGGGGTCACAGGCTGGACCCGGTGATCTCAGAGCTCTTTTCCATCCTAACTGATGCTGTGACTCTGTGAAACGTTGGTGCTGTGACTCTGTGAAACTTTGATGCTGTAACTGTGAAATGTTGGTGCTGTAACTCTGTGAAACGTTGTCCATCTTACCTGGACAGGCGGATTTCGGGCATCGCCAGGCTCTGCCGGGATAAATGCCCAGCAGCTCCCGGGCAGGGACAAAGGTGACAGGACAAGTGGCTGCGGCACTCACCCACGTACTCGTCCATGTTGAAGGTCTTCACGTACTTGAAGGAGAGGTCCCCGTTGCGGTAATACTCCACCAGCTTGCTGTAGCAGCCCAGGGGAGTGCTGCCTGCGGGGAGCGGCCGCCTGAGCCGGGGCAGGGCCCGCGCTCGGCCCCGGCCCGGCCGCCCCCCGGCACCCACCTGTGGGCAGCCCCAGCGTGAAGAAGCGCCCGGGGCCGGGCCCGAACTGCACGATGCGGTTGCGGATGTACTTGGCCGCCCACTCGCTGGCCTGCGAGTAATTCTCCAGGATGATGAGCTTCATGCTGGAGCAGCCCGGGGTCGCCTTGGCTGGAGACCGCCGCTGACTCCGGGATCGCCTTCACCGGGGATCGCCGCTGCCTTCGCCGGGGATCTCCGCTGCCTTTGCCGGGGATCTCCGCTGCCTCCGGGATCGCCTTCACCGGGGATCGGCTTCACCGGGGATCGCCTTCGCCGGGAATCTCCGCTGCCTTCACCGGGGATCGCCGCTGCCTCCGGGATCGCCGCTGCCTTCACCGGGGATCGCTTTCACCGGGGATCGCCGCTGCCTCCGGGATCGCCGCTGCCTTCACCGGGGATCGCCGCTGCCTCCGGGATCGCTTTCACCGGGACCGCCGCTGCCTCTCGGATCACCTTCACCGGGGATCGCCGCTGCCTCCGGGCCCGCCGCCGCCTCCCGGCCCGCCCCTGCCCGTAAGCTCCGCTTCCTCCCGGCTCTTCCTGCCCGGGATCGCTTCCGCGGCCGCCCGCTGGGCGGGAGGAGCGGGGCAGGGCCGAGCCGGGCCCCGGCGGTGCCGGGCGGTGCTCGGGGGGCAGCGGTGCTCCCTCCCGGTGCGCCGAAACGGCCGGCCGTGTCCCGGTGTGCTCTGCCGGAGTGCCGCCGTCGCAGCACGGAGCCGCCCGACTCTGTCGTTCGGCTTCTCAGCCCTGAAGGGAATCTCCCAGCCGTGTTCCACCAAAACGAGCTGCTCTCACGCTTGGACTGTTCTGTAGGGACTCACTTTGGGGCATGTTGGGGTCGTTCTGGTGAATTATTAAAGAAATATGGATATTGATCTAGTACCGATATCCATCCGTGACGGACAAAAGCTCTCTTAACAGTTTAAACTTAGAAAGTGTATGTTTATTGTGTGTGGGACAGCTCCCAAATACACACCGCACCTTCCAAGTGATTACAGAGCCCTTTTATCCATACAAATATTGAATAGCCAAAATACAAATACACATTCATAATTTTGGTACATCCCATTCCTCGCTTCATATGCTAATAATTTCAAAAGCTATTAAACCTGCATAGTTTGTCCCTTGAAATGGGTCGGTGTCCCTTTCATGGGGAGGGATCCCAAAATGAGGAAATCAATGAAGTCTTCCTCGTTCTGACCTTTCTACCTTTTCAATGCCAATATGACAAATGAACTCTTGGTAGAACTCCCATTCCTTGTCTTCAATTGGTTTCAGAGCAGAGGAGGCCCACAATTGTCTTATGTTCCTAAAAACTATTTGTCAGTTTGTGTATTCTTCATTATAAACCCAGCTAACTAAACATTGTGTGTAGTTATTAGTTAACTACTAACTCTTAACTTCATCAAGGCCTACTCATTTATTTTAATTAACTCTAGTAAGACTTATCTCTAACTAAAATCTTAGTTCCTCTAAAATCTCTAAATACATTAAAGTTTATGTTTCACTGGGGGGTGCAGAGACCATGATCTCTGTATGTCCTTGCTCCTGGCACAGTGGTATCCCCAAAACACCTTCCTGCTGTTGCTCCTGGTGCCTTCAAGCTCCCATGAAAATGTGCCTGACCTCTCCTTGCACAGGCTTGGTTCATTGTTGGGATACAAAGCTCTTACTTCAAAGTTAGACCGATTTTCTATTTCATCAGAAGGAACAATGAGCTACAAATTGCTTTGCTGGGATCCAGCCCATGCAGTTACTTCTCATTTTAATAATTTAAATGACCTGGCTAGAACCAGTGCTCCGGGTATTGTCTCTTCCTGGAGAGCCCTTGGTTTGCGCTGGGATGGAATGATGGGTGTGGCGGGCTGTGGGCAGACACGGGGAGAGTTTTAGGCCACAGACACGAAATAAATTCCACGGCCGTGTGTTTCCATGAGCGGTGTCAGCCCAGGGGCAGGTGAGGAGCTGGCAGCAGCGGCATTCCCGGCTCTCCCGCAGGGCAGGCAGGGCAGCCTGGCCCTGGCTCTGCGGGACACAGCTCTTCACTTGTGCCACCGGGGCCATTCGGTGCGACAGACCCAGGGCTCCCGCGGCCCCCGGTGGAATCACGGCAGCGGAGGGCTCAGAGGCACAGCACCGAGGTGCCGGGCTAAGCAGGGGCTGTGCCCCGCTGGGATGGAGGCGATGGGGACCTGGCTGAGGTCTGGACCTTCCCACCCTGGAGCTGCTTCAGTCCTTTCTCCAGGATGCTGCCCACCCGGTGAGCGCACAGCTGACCTGCACACACACCTTGGGAGCTCCCACAGCACCCCTGTTGTGGCACAAGTGCAGATTCTGGTGTGCAAAGCCAAAACTGCTGCAGGGCTCCACCCCTGTTGTGGCACAAGTGCAGATTCTGGTG